ATAATGCCGAGTCTCTGAAATCCAAAGAGCAGTCGTCGAAGATGCCCCTCCCGGCTTCTCCCACGAGTTTCAGTCGTATGCATGTCCCAAAAGTGCGTATCGTCCATAGCCGGGCTGAATAAGTGCTGAAGCGCAGAGCGTGATATTTTATTTACTTTCATTCCCGTTGTAAACCTGTTGTAGGTTTGGCTTAGTGGTGCCCTTGGTGATGAGTGGACGCGTAAGAAATGCGGGGGTACGGCTCAACGTACGCCAGGATCATGCCAGTGTGCTTGGAGCTCACCATATGAAGGCCTAGGATGCCATGCAGCATAGCGACGGGTGTGCGTGTGGTGGTGCCTAAGCAAAACTCAGTGTGCACAGTGGTGTGCATAGGGGGTGGGGGTGTGCGCATAACGTATAATACCCCATATATTAGTCCATATCTCCATATGTCATCAGGCCATATGTCCATATTTTGCTAATTTCAAAGGTGGCAATCCTAAGCGTCACTCTTAACTTGATTTAGCTCCATCCAACCCACTGAACACCGCCATGTTTTTAAAGTTAGAGGAAGGTGCTTCCCTTTTGCCGTGATAGGTTTGAGTGATCATTTTTGGCCTATCAGCAGAAAACTAGTCAGCTTTGTTGGTGAAGTATATCATGGTCATTTTAAAAGTTCTTACATTATGTCAGGATAGGAAATAAGGAAAATGCAATTTAGCTAATGTAGGATGTCTCATTGGAAAGTGGGAATTGCTTGATCTGGCGACACATGCACTAAAATCAGTTTTTAAAACCGCTCATTAGGGGTGCTATTCCCTTGCACACTGCTTGGGCTTTGAGTGAGTCCTCTGCCATGACTGCCTCTTGTGAAATCATGCACTTTAATAGGTGCTCTTGGGTTGAAGTTGCTGAAAACAATATACATTGCACTTGTAACAGGATGAAAATAATTACTCTGGTGTATGCCACATGTACAACTTTTATGCCTAACCATAGACATCCTTTTCACTTCAGAAAGCCAACATGGCCATTACCTAGCTCTCTTCTATGGAATGTAGGTTTCATCAAGGGAGGGGAGAGTCAGATGAGTTCCAGAGCATCCCTTAAGTCAGGGCCAAGTCAGCTTGGCTGCTGCACACTGCCATTGTGGCATTGTGAATTAAATATATGCTAGTAATGCGAAACTCTTCTCATACTGACTACACACTCAGCCCCTTCAACAATGGGATCACTCAGATTGGAACTCCTTATGTTCCCCTGCTAACATCTCCCAACCTCTTCACATGAATAGCATCTGGTACCACTATTTGATGCAGAGCTACAAGAATTCCTCAGTATTATAAAGTGACTGTATTATTCTAAAAGTCTCAAAGAACTCTTGTAGATCTGACTTAGGTTTCTTCCATGGGAGCTTTTTTGACATGGAACTCTTACCATTACAAAAATCCTTTTTGTTTATGCAGAAGGCGAATGGCATTGATTGTGCATTGGTTGGTTGCTTTATTTTATGTTAAAAGTACTTTGGTGAGGAGATCTAGAGACAAATACTATAAGCTGGGCTAGTATACGATTTGCTACTAACTAGAGTAAAGAGGGTTCAGAGGCAAATTATTTAAAAGATGAAAGAAATATGAGGACTTTCCTTTGAGAAATGAATGTAAATAATTATCGTTGGAGGGAGGGAGAACCTCATCCAGACTTTTAAAATTTAGTTCTGGATTTAAATTAGAATAATTATCTCTTCAGTAGCATTGTTATTATTGGCATCAATAAAATTACTATACATTTTATACTAATATTACTACTGCAGATTCATCTAAAGTGACCCAGGAAGTTTCAGTACTTCAACACCACCTTAGAAATGGCAACAGGCAGAATAAACAAAATGAGCCAGCATTTGGGCTATCGCATCCGGGTAATCACCGGTGACAAGAAGAGCATTGTGGGGACTTACCTGGCTTATGACAAGCACATGAACTTAGTCCTTTCTGATGCTGATGAGTTTCGTGTGGTGAAACCGAAGACAAGCAAAACAGCTGCTCAGGAACAGAGGAGGCCACTTGGACTTGTTTTGCTTCGAGGGAACAACATCGTATCAATTGCAGTGGAGGGTCCCCCACCTTCAGACCAAACAACAGCACGTGTTCCTATGTCAGGTAGGGCCACTGAGTTCCACTTTGGTTGGTTAACATGGGTAATCATTTAATACCTAAAAATAAATGTAATGTTCACAAAATTAACTTAATTTAACAATTTTTGGTTGTTTGACATGGACCTTGGCTATTTTTACTTTTAAGTTGGATTTGTTGTCTTTTTATATCAAGGGACTTGATCATATCAAAAGGCTATTTATAATTTGAGCATCTGCCTTCACATGAAGTTGCAAATTATCCCCACTTTTGAATATTATCTGGTGAATAGAACATGTTCAACTACAACTCAATAAGGGTNTCAAAATATGTTATTGGAAACCACTTAGTAATACAGGTAGGTTGTATTGATGCTACTTTCTTCAGACTTAAAGTGGTCTTATGAGAGACTCCTGTTATTTACATGATGAAATTATGAATCCATTGGCTTGGACTTTTGGAACTGTTTTGAGGTTGATCAATAATGTTTAATGTCTTAAAGAGTATATAAGTTTCTCACCATATGTAAGCATAAGGCATTACATGGGTCCTTGAAATTGACAGAAATATGTAATAATGCTTTTCAGATGTATGCTTTCCTGTACACAAATGTAGGAACTTATGTATTAGCCAATGGATTAATTACTTGAAGAAATTGGTCTTTGTTGGTCTCAGCCAACCTTGAGTAGGCATGTCTGCATATGTTGTTATTTCCAAAATACAATTTAATTAAGCTGCAGTTGCCTCATTTCTGGTTCCTCTGTTGTGTGTAGGTATGGGACCAGGTCCAGGTCAGGCAAGGGCAGCAGGTCGAGGTGTGGGGCCTCCTCCACCCCAGCAAGCCCCAGCAGGGCTGCAGGGACCAGTAAGGGGGGTTGGAGGCCCCTCTTCCTCCATGATGACCCCTCAGATCTCAGGAACTCCTCAGGGGTACCCTGGGGGATATGGTCGACCTTACTGACCTACCTCATGTGATTCTCATCTTGTTGAGTGAAGCACAGTGCTTCAGTGTCAATTGTTCATGATGGCTTTGCCAAAAATGATTTTGAACTGCTCCAAAGCTTTTAGTCACTGATTTCATTCAGAGGAGCACCTGAATGATGTCATTTTCTGAAAGGTAATGGTTTGCATAAATAGGGATTGTTTTCTGAACTTCCATTTGATGGTAATGCCGGGAATTGAATGGATCAGCAGTCATTAGTTTATAGTGACACTTGCCCATCTATTGGTTATGACATGCAATTTTTTATTACCAGTAATGGAATGCTAAAATGATTTGATGAGGCTGAGGTGTATGTGAACAAATTAATGTTGTTTGGAGACAACATTCCATTCCTGTGCACATGTTTATTCTGTCCTCATTTTGCCTCTTCTGTCTCATTTCTTCATTCATTTGCTTGTTTCCTTGAATTTGAAATGAATGTTTTTAATATCTCTTTCTGGAATGCTTTTTGAGGCATTCCAAAAGGAAAAGCCCGTCTTTGAAGAAAGCAATCATTCATTGCAGATGCATATTTCTGGTATGGTCCTTCCAGGGCTGAAACAATGTTATGGTAGACTGTACCTATATTGTCATGCCTTTCCAAAATTCTTTGCGATTGAACTTAAGAAGGAATCTCATGAGTGGCCTGGCAAGCATTAACAGAGATATCCTTTGATTTGGTTAAAAAGTCAGTACCTAATCAGCAGAGAATATTTCTTCCATTCATCTTTATCTTCTGTTGCATTCAATTTCCAGTGAATTTTTTTGTGCTCCCTGAAAGAAATGACTGAGTTACTTTGCCTCTGTTGAAAGAAGGGCAGCTGAGGTCATCACAAAGTATGTTCACCCATCTGTTGGTGAATAATGGTCATATGACATGGACGAGTAAACATTTTTTTGGGTTGTCTTTCTAAATGGCTGGTTTTTTAATTAATTTTGTCTTAATTGCTACTTGAATCAGGTTTCAGATTGCCCTGATATTCCACAATTTTCCCAAGCTGGATTTCTAGAGAGCCCAGCTTCAGGTGTCAAAACGCCTGAGAGAAAGGGAAGGATCATTCAGTGATACTGAATAGACACTTTTGTCGCTCTTATGGGATGATTCCCAGTCCATTCTAGCCAAATTTGGCTCACCAGTTTCATTTGGAGTTTTGATGTCTTGAACCATACTAAATTTTGTCCTAGATGAAACCAATGTAAGTCGGTCTGAATTCCACTTCAAACTATATTGAGAATTTTCAAATTAAACTTTCAATGCATGAAATAAATTTGGGCCAATAAGAACTGTGGCTCCCAACATTTTTCCAATTTGGTTTTACCCAATCCACATGTATTCATACCCTCATCCAAGTCTTCCATCAAATCTAAAACACTAATGTTTATTGAAATACTAATAATTTCATCATTGCATTCTTAAATGGCCTCTTAAGCTAAATCCTTAAGTTTGGATTCAATAAATAATTCATAAGTTGGATTGGGCCATCTCTGTCATCTATCTCTGCAAAAAAAGTGAGGTAGAACTTGAAGAACATAATCGATGAATCCCTCATGATACTGCAATTCTTTTGTACCTATATAAAAGGCCATAAAAGTTTTCACCCTAAGCAGGGTTCTCACTAGCTTTTTCAAATCTTCAGTCCTGGCACCTAGCTTCAGCTCAGTGGGAACATCTTCACATGGTTCAATGAGTCCCACAGACTTTGAAGTTTTGCAAATATGAATCCCTCCAATGAAACATATGATTCAGGGAGTAGTTATAGGATGTCAACCTGAACCCTGCCTATGTTATGCTTCCTGCTGAACTTGGCTCTGTACTGATACTTCCCAGTTTTGTACATAAATTGATGATGTAGTTCTTCAGGTTATATGGCATTTGCCTGCCTAAAAGGATGTCTGGAAGAGATATGCAGAAGATTTTTTTTTTAATTAATCAGCAAATATGAAATGGGTATCAGGTAGGCTCTTATGCATATAGCAATAAAGTTTGGTAATGTAAGAAGAATTGGCTGTGTTTTAAAAATTTTAGAAGTATTAGATATAGGGTGAATTAAGTGTCAAGGTGCAGCTGAGTTTCATATACAACTGATTTGGAGGGTCCCCAGTGGAAAAAAAATAACTTTGTTGGGGTCATCCAGACCCACTTCACTGAAAGGTTCTTTTAATAATTTACAAATTTATCCAACTACAATGTAACTTGTTCCTTGCACTGAAATTCAACATGGACTTCTCTCTGACTCATTCTGCCAGCATGAAGCACTTCCAATAATCACTTCTACCTAGTTTACTTGACAATTTTGTACCACTCTGTTAATCTGTATTTTCTCTGTGATCACATCATTCAAGAAAAAGAATTAACTTAATATACATGTTCACGCTGGTCTACATTTATCAGAAATTGTAAAGAAATGCCTAAGTAGAATTACTTGCATGATTGGGAGAGAGTTGTTGAATAATTGGAATTAATTGGCTTATTTTCATTTTTGTGTTTTTTGTCATCTTTCACTGACGTGAGATTCATTCGCTCGTTTTCGGCGCAGCTTACTTGATTTCTGGCTGTCATGAAGTTCTGTTTTCATAGGTTACTTACTAAAGGCAGCAGGATGACGTTGGGGAAAAACACCAAGATGATTGCGTTCCTGAACTACAGGATCCGAGTGGTCCTGCAGGACTCGCGGCACGTGATTGGGACTTTCAAAGCCTTTGACAAGCACATGAACCTGGTGCTTGATAACTGTGATGAATTCCGTTATGTCAAGTCCCGAAAGACAATCGACAAGGAAGTGAAGCGGCCGCTGGGGTTCGTGCTTCTGGCAGGGCGAAGCATCCTATCGGTAACGATCGAAGGACCTCCCCCACCGGAGGAGAATACGATCCGCCTCCCCATTCCTGGAGCATCCCAGTCCCCAGCGATGACCAAGACCATTCCCCGCCCGCCTGGGATGGGGATGCCCCGAGGCCCTCCACCTCCGCCGGGGATGATGTCTGGACCTCGACCGCCGATGCGGCCTCCAGGTGGCTTTCCAGGATACGCCGGGCCTCCAAGGGGCCCTGGAGGATATGGGCCACCTCAGGGATTCCCACCCCGAGGTGCTCCAGGCGGTCCAGCTCCACCTTTGCCTGGAGGCCCTCCCATGCGAGGGGGCATGATGAGGGGAAGACCCTTCTGAGCATCATCTTCATGAATGAGGACAGTGACCATTGATGCTTCACATTCATTGATGGTGGTCGTGTTTCGTGGACGGATTTTGAATTACAAGACCTTGTTTAAATGTCCATCACAAGAAGACGAATTGGTTCTCCTTCATTGACTCTACTTTGATATTGTCACTGTTTCGATGTCACGGTCTTGGAGAGTTGAATCTTCTGGATTCTTTCATCCGTATGTTATGTGTGCTATTGGGTTGTAAGAATGAAATCTTTCTTCGAATTCCATCAAGATTTCTCAAAATCTTAATTCCATCACAAAATCACAAGCGTTGTGATAGATAACTGTGCCTGTTGTAAAAATTAGCTATTGCTCTGTCGTGATACAGAGGACCCCTTCAGGCATTCAATTCCTATTCGTGTTGCACGTCATTAGGTCACCTATTAACGGGAATTCATCGGTATCTTGAAAACCCTTCCCCTATAATAAAGGTATGTCAATCCCTGAAACGACAACGATATTGTGACGTAGCACGGGACTTGATAACGTAGCTAATATAGGCAGTGAGAGGGAAAAGGGAAACCTTCAGGCATGGGCGAGCTACAACCTAGGTACGCCTTAGTATGAGGAACCTCTAAGGGCACTGACCTCTGACGAATCTCTTCAACCATAAAATGTCAGACTTATGCAGAAGGCAGGTAATGATTTTCAGTAGAGTGCATTACATTACGCATTATTAAATTACGCAGGCGAAAGGAAGAGTTCTAAACCTCCATTCAAATCCATCGAGTAATTGCACTTGAAATGGTGCTGATTTGGCTAGTCTGAGTGCAACTATTATGTTTGGAAGCCTGAATACGAGCTCAAAATAAGAACCATGGGATTCTAGATTTTAAAATAAAAGCAGGGTGAGCAGAAATAACCGAGACGATGCCTATTGCTTCTGTCTTCGTGAAAGTGCGGGATTCAATTTCTCAAGCAAACTTCACGTAGGTCTCCCTTAAATTTATTTAAAGCTCGAAACTTTTTTTTTTCCGAAAGGCTGGTGCTTGCCGCAGTCGATGCTCTGCAAACCATCTCTTCGATATAGAGAACGGGTATTCATCTCATTGACTTATTTACTTCATCGTTTAGCACTTAATTGCACTTGTATTGATGAGTGCGTCCATGCGGCCTGTCTTTCTGGGGTTCTTCATATGTGTATAAGTTAATTTTTTTATAGCAAAAGCTAAGGTAATCCTTTCGTATGAAGCAAATATTTATTTTTCAGAACTGAGCAAGGTCTTTCATCCCAATAGATTCGCTTAAACAGAAAATGGTCTGAAATATCGAAATTTGAACACTTAAAAATCTAAATATATAATACGCTACTATACGTTTGTGAGCCGCGCTATGACGATATGCTAATAGATATCCTGACATGTTATGCATCGTTCGAAAGCCTATGGTCAAGAGGGGTGCATCGAGCAATCAGATTTGAAATATCTTCAACCCAGGATGAGTTACGAGCTATGAAAATGTTCACCATTATGCTACACTGGTAGAGTCCTGCACGGGCCGATTTCCCGAAATCCGTCTAAACATCATACTTCCATTATTTCCATTCATTGTAAAAAAAAATTTACCTATTTCCCTTTTCACAGATTACATGCATAAAAATGATCCAGTCGTGACACGGAGTTTCCATGGTCTCAAACCAGACAAACGATGACATGTACAGTATATCTTAAAATTCCGCCCTGCTCAACCTGTAGAAGGATCTTGAACAAGTCGACCTAAGACGGCTTGCGGGTCGGTCGGTCGGGGGCGATCGGGCAGGCCACAGCCTGTGCAGGGCTCTAACCCCACTTTCCTCCAATAGCGAAAAAGACTGCTGTTATACTCACAAGAATTTGGAATCCTTTCTTTACTCCCTGGAATGAAACATAGGACAACAGAGCTGCATAGTTTGCTTAATAGTGGAAAACCATAAAATGTTTGGCACCACTGTAACGTGTTTACAAAAACGTGCGCGTTTGTTTGCGTGTTCACGCATCTTTTGGGCGACTAAATCATTCGTTCACTGTTCGAGAAAAACTAAAAATAAATATGCGAAATGTGAATATATAGCCTGGATCCCGATAATGCCGAAACCCAAGCAACGATATGCACCGAATGTCGTGTTCCGATAGGTTTTGAATTGAAAATACTTTACCAATTTTTGAAAGTCAATTTTAAAGATTTCTAAGGTGTTTCGTGTTATTCAATGAAAGTCAAGAGAGAAAATTTCTGTAGCTACTGTTCTATGCTGGAGTTCAAAACAGTTTCCTTTAGACCATATACCTTCAGGATATTAAGTATTTGCGGTTAAGTGTGGAAATCGGTACATTGTAACTTCGCGCAATTTGCGCGGGGCTCTGCTAGTAATAAATAATAATGAGAAACCTGTAACGGTTCGCCGAAGAATGGAAAGCCAACAAAGAGCCAATGAATAGGCAGAGCAAGGCCAGTCGGTGAGGTATTCCTCGAGCACCGTCGAAGTGAGAGGAGGAATAAATCATTTTAAAAAATCCCAAATCTCTTCTCCGCGCTCCCTCGAGACCATATCCCATCCCTTTCCCAATTCCACCTTCGCTTCGTGCCATCGCCGCTTTCATTATGATGTCGGGCAGGTCTGAAGGCCCCAGCCCTCCTTCCGCTCGTTCCACGCACTCCATTCCATTACTCGTTGGTCCCGCAGTCGATGTCCTTGAGACGTGATGCGAGCCAGTGCCGATTAGTGAGAACGCGAATCCTCCTCGATCTGGGCGATCTCGTCCCTCGCCGATCTTAGACGTGCGTCCGTTATTTGTCCATCCTTTACCCATCCTTTACCCATCCTTTGTCCGCTGACAGTGTGAGAATAGCGAATCTTCTTTAGAAACTTCTGTGGTGTGAGACAGACCGTAAAGTAATTACCTAAAGACTTCACGACAGCCATAGGTGTTAGTTTTGTCGTTGTCAGTTTCCTAATAATGGCTATTTTGAAACAAAAGAACCACTTCGTAGTAAGAAAGTGAAATTTATTCTGACGGAAAGTGACGATAAGTGACTTCTTTTCTTTTAGTTGTTGGCCTTGTGAAAAATCAGATTTGTCCATAATTTGGGCAATCATGAAACTCATTCAAACAAATTTTTTTTTGCAGACCTGGAAACTTGTTCGTCGGAAATGTGCGTGCCAATAGATGCCAAGGATTTACTTTCCTAAAATTAGTCTCACAAATGTATGCTATCCAGTCGTGATAATTTTTTTTTTTTTGCCCGGGAATGGCAAATATGTTGCCATCTGCAACGCCATTTCGGATGAGGAAATTTCGTCGATATGAACCAATGTATGGACATATCTGACTTTTCACGAGGCTAGCAACTAATAGAAAAGAAGTCACATATCACTTTTCGTCAGAGTAAATGTCATTTTCTTACTACAAAGTCGTTCTTTTGTTTCAAAACAGCCATTATCAGGAAACCGACTACTACAGAACTATTAATACATCTATGCCTGTCGTGAAGTTTCCAACATTTAAGTTAATTATTTCGTCAATTGGGGAGGGAGAAACTCAGAAATTTTGTTGTTTTAGTGAAACATGGGCAGCTCTGATTTAAAATAAGCATTTTTTTCCCCACAATTATGAAAACTTCATTTTTCAACTTTTGGCCAGGTTTTTGACGAATTCCGAGCCACCGTGCTATGGAACGGAAGCTTGTATCCGGCGAGCCTCTCCCTGTTGGACGCGAAAGAGAAGACAAAGAGAAGCGAACTGGGGAACGCGGTCGAGATTTTCCGCTTGCACCACCTCCTGTGGCTCCACGGACGCGAATATCTCCCCGAGTCGTGGGAGGACTCCTCGGGAAGATGCTGGAGAAGGGGGCGGAGGGAGGTCGGAGGCTCCAGCCGCCCTCGACCGATGCGCCCATTCACCCTTACGTCACGCCTAAAGAAGCCGAGTCGTCGAGAGAAGATTGGCAGTCCATCCTCGGATCCCTCTCCGCTCGGTTCCAGGATCCTCTCGCTTCTCTCTCCATCGCCTTTCGGCCCTACGTCCGATACGGCACGACCATCTTCGACGTCGAATTCGCGGAGGGATTCCAACTCTCCTCGGGAACAAGTAAGAACGTCGCTTCTCGCGTCACGTGCAGGCTCTTTGCTATGGTACTTTCGATTGCTCATCATTTGTCGGAAATGCACCGAATGGCAGAAAAGAGAGAAAATTAGAACATTTTGCAAAGGGGATTTCTCCAAGACCGGACAAATGCATACATGCATGCATACTGTAGGAAAGTGTTCAGAATCCTTTATTATGGATCGCATGTATGAATTAGTTTTTGCACTCAATACGACATATTGCATCAAATTGTGGGCTGCAGCTGCTGCCCGATTTGTGAAGAGAAAGGTATTTAATTTACACGGATATACCCATCGTAGCAGCCAATTCCCTCGCAAAATGTTACACGTGTCGGCTCGCTGATCTCGGAGGAATTTCTTTCCGGAAAAAAAGTTGGGATGTTCAGGAATTTACGTCTTGGATTGGGTATGGTAAATCCGAAGAGTCGTCGTCTTTTCTCGAGCATCACGTTTTCTTATTGACAAATTGATTGCATTATTTGTAGCTATTGAGTCCATGCCCCACGAGGCCAGCGCTGACCTCGACTCTCAAGGAAGACATGAACTTAGCCATGAAGTGAAAACGATTCAACTCTGACCCATTCTCCAGGGGCGATCGTCCGGAAGACAGGGTCCCTAGATGTCAGCTTTCCTGGTCTATTTCGCTACGTCCTCTCCCCCGAATCCCCCGAGGAGTTGAAGGCGAAGACCGGGACCCACGGCCCCAGGCTTCCTCCCTCGGGGAGAAACCCATCCTCGTCACTCCTCCTCTCGAGGCTCTTCGCCACGGAGGGCGGAAGTGCTTCGGTGGGAGGGGCCGAGGATGCCTTGCGATCGCCGCAGTTGTTTACCTTCGTTCCAATATAAGGGTAGGCTCTTTCTCTCCTGAAAACAACTAACAGTAACTGAAGCGTGATGCAGGTGCCTTCTTCCTTCAGCCTCGGTGAAGTAAAAGAAAAGGAGTGAAGTTCGATTCAAGATTTATTGGGACCTTACAGATAACATAGTGTACATGCAGCTGAGTTTAAACCATTCTTGAAGGAAAACGAATGATGGGTAAGCGTTTCTGCTCGTGTCAAAGTTCTCCCGAAATTTACCAGACTAGGGGTAAAAGCGAATGCTAATTCGCTAACCGAGTAACGGAAATCATAATGCAAGTTGGGGTGACCCTTAAATGTGACCCTTGGGTCAAAATATCCTTAAGCACTGGCCATGGGTTTTCCCGCGATATTCAGCGCCGCCCTTGAGGATGGAATCGATGAAGACTGCTTTCAGGCTCAACATTCAGGATTCATCAGTGCTCATGAATGGCCACCATCCTCACCCGATCTGAAACCGATGGAACCGTTTGGAGCCCTTAGGAAGATAAATTCAATGGCAAACCAAAAAAATAGTTTAAACATTTGAGGCGTATCGTATAACAGCGTATTGTATAACTATGGTCGCTCCTTCGGCGCTCCATTACCTTGGATAGTGATTAATTAATTTATTTTTTGCGGAATGGGAAACACGTATTTAAAGTACGTCCTCATTGACATACGTGACATATGGGGACGAAAGTCTTGATTTTTATCAAATTCATTACTTCTATTATTTCTATTGTGCCTAACTTAAAATGTTTTCATGTGTCCTTTTTTGTAAGGGTGGAGAATACATTTTGAATGACTTCCCTCCTATAATCTACGCTAAAGACACATTTTTCAAAAGTTGGATTATTCCTGTACTCAGCCATCAAACAGGTACTTCTTAGGGAAGTTTACATTTTCTGTCTCTTTTTCGTTGGATCAAAAAAAATTCAGGAAAATGGGACCGAAAAAAAGGGCCCTGATGGGTTTTAACGAAATTTTTTCTTCTTCTGAAATGTAGACTCAGGGAACCCAGTTTAAGCCTCATACGTTTCCTCCTTTTGCTGGCGGAAAAAAAAATGTTTTGGAAAACTGTGCTCTGAGGAGACGCACAACAAAAGTTGAATTTTTCCTTAAATCAACATCACGTCCGTTATGCTTGCTCCAGCTGCTACTTTTCTATTTCTGCCCGATTCGTTAGGATATGAAAAATTATTTGAAAACGTTACGTTTCCAAGAAATATGCCCACCAAAAATATTTTGGAAATTTGACATTTGACAATTGAGCTCAGTGTGTCAGCAGTCACGTTCTTGCCAAGTTTTAGCTTTCCATGAGTCTCCGTTTCATTGAAGCAAAGAGAACTATTTGAAAATATGTTCCCCGAAAAGGTGTGCCCCCATGGCATGTATCATCAAAGTAGAATTTTTCCTAAACTCAGCATGCGACTTATGTCAGTCATCTACTCACGAACGTTTTTATATAATAAAAGAGGAATTTTTTTATTTACTCAGCTATACATCAGGTTCTCCTTTGCTAAGTTTAAACTTTCTAGTGCCCTCTGTTTTGCTGGATCAGAAATTCGAGAAAATACGCCCTTTGCAATATATGTGCCTTGAGGCGTTTTAACCGAAAAGTAACTTTTTTTGACCGAAATCAATCCTTAGAGAACTGCATGTCCACAAAGTTTCAGCCTCATACGTTTGCCCTTTTCGCTTGTGAAAAAAAATGTTTGGAAAGGCCGACACACCCAAAAGCTATGCCCGGAGTGGATGCACCATGATAGCTGAATACTCCCTCAACTCAATAATACCATGTCACTTATACGTGTGTCAAGTTTCACCTTCCCATTTCCATATTTCCACATTTTTCTTTAACTCCTTCTCTCATTCATGCAAAGCTTCAGCTTTCCATGTTAATCAATTTAACTGATGCAAAAAATTATTTGAAAAAATCTCCCTTTGAAATTTCTGCCAGTGGGGCATTTACTTCCAACGTCTGAATTTTTCTGCACGCAGCATCCCAATAGGTAGTTATGTATCAAGTTTCATCTTTCCACACCAGCTCAATACGCCAGAGCAAAAGAAAAATACTTGAAAAACGTCGTCCCCTAAAAATATGCCCCCACAGGGCATGGATCTAAAAGTAAACGTTTTTCCTGAACTCATTGTCTCGGTAGGCACGTCCACGCCAAGTTTCAACTTTCCATGTCTCTCCGTTTTACTAAAGCAAAAAATTCTCCACCCGAAATGTGTACCCCCAGGGCGTGTACCTCAAAAGTCGGATTTTTTCTGAACTCTGCATCCGAAAAGGTACATGTGTACCAAGTTTCAGATTTCTAGCCTTTCTAGAACATGGGACTCACTTCTTTTCCTTTCCTACTTGGCTAACCTATCCTCTAACCTTCATTCCCTTCTTGTCTCCTTCGTCCTTCAGCAACACACGCGCACAATTCCCTTCAGTGCAATATAATGGCTAGCTTCTTTTTTCTTTCCTGTCCTTCCCTTGCCTCGAGGCAAGATCTCCTCCCGCGAATTTGCCAGGTGGCGCTGCACGTGAGCAATCGTCGCCATCTCCACCCCCAAAATGTGCTCTGAAATTAAAGCCCGTGCCGGAGATTCTCCATGTGGGGTTAGAAGTTGAGGTTGAAAGGACAACTTGGTCACAGTCAGGCTCCCTTTTAGGAGTATGAGATCAGGGCGCGAAATTTAAATCCTGTGTAATTTTTTTAGGGACGTGAATCTACATACGTATTACGAAGTTTACCGAATCACCTAACCACGAAGGAGAGGTCGTATGGAGGTGATGGAATACGCAGTCTCTTGGATCTCGACGATGTCCTTTACATCTGATTACTCATTGAATTCATTTTACTGCTAATTAAAAGGGAAACACCTACGAAGTGGACCACCCGTCGAACGGTACATGTGATGTATCAATCGCAAGCTCTAGATGAATGGAATGCGCTGGTGCTTATTTTAACAGTGAGAAAAGAATTTGTAATTTTAATGTTAAAACATGTGGGTTATAGGCTAGGCAAGCATGGGGTGGCGTGCGCGAGCACTTTCACCATGGGGGTAGCCACGTTGAACGGAGGGCGAGAGTGCCCATTTCGTTTGAACAGAAAGCCTAACGTGTAGTGATAGCTGAATGACTTCATGTTCCGGGTTCGGTGGTTTAACGGTGGCGCGCCTGACCGGCAATCGGGAGTTCCTGTTTCAAGTCCCGGCCGTCCCCTGGCTTTCGCTTGTCCTCTGTTGCCGGCCTCGCCCTGCCTTCGGGGTTCATGCCCTTACGGGAACTCCATATTCAGATTTCATGCGCGATATCAAATACGGCCATACAGGGGTGTTTTGCTAGAAATGTACATGGTACAAATAAAAATTATATGTGGGAGACTGTGGAAGCGGCCCAGTTCATATAATGTTTTGGCCATTCTTAATGAATATGGAGCTATACATGGTTCATATATATACCCCAAATATGATGCTTAGTTGCAATGTATATAGCACATATGATAATTTGGTATGTTTTGGCTATATTTAATATGTTGGATAAATGTAACAATATATTATCATATACAGGTCCCTCATACGGTTCTTAATTTGCAATTTACAGTAGATGGCCTCCGCATGCATTATTGATGGCAGATTGAGGCAGAGGCTCAGATGCTCAACAACGAAACTGGAATGGGCGTTTTTGTACTCACTTCACAAGGGGAACCTCACTCCCTCTATGCATTGGGTAAGAATTACCTGGAGCCTCCTTAAGCTAGGTTACGTGTCTCAATATATGCATAGACTAAAACGACTTCATTCCTTCGGTTTGTACGTAGGAAATTAGCGAGTTGAGGGTGAAAGCTTCTGCAGAACCATTCATTAGCATTTGGGGAATCGGGAGACATATAGCGGTGGGATTAGCGCGACCTCGCTTATATTGTGAGAACTTCATATTCATTGAACAAACTGCTAGATGTCAGGCCATACGTGGAAGGCCTTCAACGTGTATGCGTGTGCATCCGTGGATATTACATGGACTGAACAGTTTCCAAATATATTCTAAATACAGTATTTTTTCCGTATAGCTTATATTAGTGTCATATACAGTGCAAACCTAGCACCATACTTGGGGGTCTGAATATGAACCATATATGATTCCATATTTATTAAGAATGGCCAAAACATGATACGGACTGAACTGTTTCCAAACATGGCTAAATTCAGTGCTGTACAATCCTATACATACGCCTGTATTTGGAAGTTCCGTAAGGGTACGTGAATATTATAGCAGTGTTACCTACCATGATAACTTCTCATTCGCATTTTTAATATCATTTTCATGGTAGTATCATGGAGCAAGAATCGCCAAATAGGGAATAAAACTTTTTTCCAAGAAACGACCAAAAACCTATCCAGCGTTACCACTCTAGTACCATCAGATATTGGCTCAAAGATGGACCAACATTAGGCAAGATGTCTATACATCTTGCCAATATTGACAATACCGCCAAAATATTTGCTTTTCAATATTGCCACTCCATCATCGATTCAATATCAGACCGACGCGATGATCTTATGTACCCAAGTTGCATGGAGGTTTTTCTTTTAAATGGAAATGTTGAAGTTCTCCTCTTGGCCACAATATGTCGGTATGGATCTCGCTTTTATAATAGTGCGCAAAAGTCCTCTTCCTTCTTTATATGGAATCCTCCCTCACAGGAGTCCAGAACTTCACTTACAGATCTTGAATGCCAGAGAATCGATTTTCTCCTTAACATTCTGAAGCATGTGTCACGTATTGAATAGAGAACGATCCTTATTAAACACACGACTGTGGGATTATTTGGTAATCTCGGGTTCAGTAGAGCGAATTCGAAAAAGAATATCCACCATTGGAACTTCAAAATAATTACACATTCATATCAATATATTCAAAGGTTTGAAAGGAAGAAGAATAATGAAATAATATAATGGAGGGACTAAAGACACAACATCAGGGACAGAGGAAAACCGTCTCACAGGCAA